AAATGTGCGTTTCTTTTTAATACAATTAATATCAATACAAATAATACAAAAGACCCTTTCCAAAAATCAAGGAAAAGGGTAAACAGGTGAGATAGGTAGGATTAAGAACTGACTCCTTGGTGAATAAGCACTTGTAGAGCCATCTGTGTGTAAATACAATAAATAAACCTATATTACAGAGGGCACAGCATGTATTGGGTTAAGTCCAGTCTGTTTCTCCTCTATTTTCCGTTCCCTATCTCCCTTTTCTCTTTAAGCCCCTTCTCCTTTTCTCTCTCCCTCTCTCTCTTTATCTATTTATTTCTCTCTCTCTCTTTCCTTCTCCCCTTCCCTTCTCTTTCCCCTCCCTTTCTCCCTCTCTTCCTTCCTTTCCTCCCTTATCTTCCCATTTCCCTCCTTTTCTCCCTCTCCCCCTCCCTTCTCCTTCTTCCCTTCCCCTTCCCCTCCTAGCTTCCTTCTTAACCTCTCCCCTCAGGAGGTTAAGAAGCTGATTGATAAATGTGCAGAAATTGATGGTCTAACTTTTTTTAACAATACAGCGTACTTGCCTCAAAGAGCATTAATGATAATAATAGAAATAAGCATTACAATAATGATAATGATACAAACAATAATAACAAAAGTTGTAATGGTAATAATACTAGAACTGGAAAATTATTCTCATAGATTCGTAATGTGATGTGTGTGTGTGATTCTTTAGCAGTTATGTCATTCATTATCAATCCATTTCACATCATCATTCAAGTCCTCAGTCACATGGAGTATGATTTCAGGCGTAACACTTGCGTAACGTGTGGCGAAAGAACGAAGCGAGCAGAGTTACATTATGACTTTCAAATTATCATATATGTCGTTCATATTTTCATCATCACTATTAATATTATCAATATCATGTTTATCATTGTTATTGTTATCATTATTACTATCATTATTGTTTTTTATTAACTTTAATATTATTATTATTATCATCATCATTATCTTTAGCATTCTTATTATTATCATTATCACTATTTTTTATCATTATTATAATTATCATTATTAATTTTCTCATTATCATCATTATTGTTATGATCATTATTGCTACTGGCATTATCATTATCATTGTTATAATTTTAACCACCATTATCATGTTTACTGTAATCATCTTTATTAATAATATCGATATCAGCATTATTATTATCATCATTTTAATAATTAATATTATATTGGTATTAGTACAATTATCATTATTCTTATTATCAATATTATCACCATTATAATTATCATTATTCTTATTATCAATATTATCACCATTATGATTATCATTATTATTATTGTTATTGTCACTGATATTATCAATATCATTATCGTTATTATTATCATTATTATTATCGTTTTCTTGTTGTTGTTGTAACCATTATTATTATTATTATTACTATTATCATCATTATTATTATTATCATCAATATCATCATTATTGTCATTACTCCCATTATTATCATTATTATCATCATAATTATTGCTATCACTATTAACATCATCCTCTTCATTATCATTATTTTCATAATCATTGTCAAATTATCATTATTATCATTAAAATAACTTGAGATGGTGAAACGATATCAGGAAAGAATTAACAGATAGATGTTCGCTAGTGTATGTGAGAAACTGGTAGAGTTAATAAACATCCCTTACAAGGAGAATGCGAAATAAAGGGCGTAAGCTGAATAAAAGTTCTCGGGAAAGGGCGAGATGGAAAAAAACAGATGAAAGGAGGCGCCGAGAGACGAGCGCCACGCCCCAAGGAGAGCAGAAGAGAGAGGCCGCAGAAATCCTGTTTGCATCACGGAGGTAAAGGAAGAGATATTTCACCATGGAAGCGGGAAGAGGGACAAATGTAGACAGAACTCGGGATAGAAAGAGCAGGAAGGATGACACAGGAGCCCCAGGATCGCCAACCGTCTTCACCTAACTCCCCTTCGGCCGTAATGATGTCCGACTGTGTGACATGGGTACAGAGGGACAGCACCTTCCCTCCCCCTATTCCCCTCTGCCCCTTCCATTTTCCCTCCCTCAGTCCCCACCCTTCCCGCCCTCCCCCTGCCCTTCCCACTTCCCCTCCCTCCTCCCTCCTCCTCCGGCTCCCTGGCGAGCAGCAGCTGCAAAGCGGCTGCCGAGTGAACCCCCCCCCCCCCCGACCTCTTCGAGACGCTGGGCTCGTTCGCGGGCCACGAGGGGTCGCCTCGGCCCGTCGGCGTTCGAGGCAGAACTCACTTCTAAAATATTCCATCGCCACTTGCATTCTCAGTAAAGGGCGCAACTAGAGACACGGCACATATACTGGGCATTGTGGAAATGTGTGTATTTTTATATATAAGTACATGAATATGTATATACATATATATATATATATATATATATATATATATATATATATATATATATATATATATATATATATATATATATATATATATATATATATATATATGTATATACATACATACATATATATATATATATATATATATATATATATATATATATATATATATATATATATATATATATATATATACATATACGTATACATATACATATATATATATATATATATATATATATATATATATATATATATATATATATATATATATATACGTATACGTATACATATACATATATATATATATATATATATATATATATATATATATATATATATATATATATATATATATATACATATACGTATGTGTGTGTGTGTGTGTGCGTGTGTGCATATAGAACAACGAAGGAAAGAACAAGAGAACACGAGTAAGCCGAAGGCCTTTTCGCTGTATTGCTTCTTCAGGTAAACAGGTGAGGCAGATGGGATTAAGAGCTGACTCCCTGGTACCTAAGCGCTTGTAGAGCCATCTGTGCGTAAATGCAACAAATAAACTTATATTGCAGAAGGCATAGCATGTATTCTTGTCGATTGGGTGAAGTATACTCTGTTTCTCCTCCATTCGAGTTCTCTTGCTCTTCCCTTCGCTGTTCGATTTGCAGTCTGTGTATGCGTGTGTATAGATGTAAATATGTGTGTGTGTATGTGTGTGTGTGTACAAATATATATACATATATATACATATATGTATATATGTGTGTGTGTGTGTGTGTGTGTGTGTGTGTGTGTGCATATATATATATATATATATATATATATATATATATATATATATATATATATATATATATATATATATATATATATATATATATATATATACACTTATATATATATATAAATATATATATATATATATATATATATATATATATATATATATATATATATATATATATATATATATATATATACATATATATATATATATATATATATATATATATATATATATATATATATATGTATATATATATATATATATATATATATATATATATATATATATATATATATATGTGTGTGTGTGTGTGTGTGTGTGTGTGTGTGTGTGTGTGTGTGTGTGTGTGTGTGTGTGTGTGTATGTGTGTGTGTGTGATAATAATAATGATAATGATAATAACAATAATTATAATAATAACGATGATAATAATAACAGCAATAACAACAATGATAATGATGATGAAAATAGTAATAACGAGAATGATATTGATAATAGTAGTAATAATAATGTTAATAGTAATGGTAATAATAATAATAATAATAACAATAATAATAATAATGATAATATCAATAATGATAATGATAAAAGTATTAGTAATACTAATTATGATAATAGGTATAATGATAATAATGAAAACAGTAATAATGATAAGATAATGATAATAATTATAATGATAATGATGATGATAAAGATAATGATAATGATGATGATAAAGATAATAAAAATGATAATAATGATAACAATAACACTAATAATGATGATAATAACCATAATAATAATGATAGTAATAATGATGATGAGGAGGATGATAATGATGATGATAATAATAATAATAATAATAATAATAATAATAATAATAATGATAATATTAGTAATAACAATAACAACAACAACAATAATAATGTGTGTATGTGTGTGAAACAGTTGTTTAATTTTTAATAAATCTAGTTTTTACGTTGTGGGTTTTTCTACCATGATAATAATAATAATAATTATTATTATTATTATTATTATTATTATTATTATTATTATTATTATTATTATTATTATTATAATGATAATAATAATATTAACAATAATAATAATGATAATAATAATGCAGATGATAATTTTAAAAAATGATGATGATAATAATGATATTGATAGTAACATTAATGATAACGGTAGTAATGATAATAATGATACTGATAAAAATGATAATGATACTAATCATGTAATGATAATAATTCAATAATAATGATAAAAAATAATGACAATAATAAAAATGATAACACTGATATTGATAATAATAATGATAATATTAATAGTAAGAACAATAATAATGATCACACAAATAGTAAGAACAGTAATAATGATAATACTACAGCAATGGCTATCTCCACCCACTTTGATATTACGAGCATCCTCACAGTTCTTAGCGTCAGCATTACTACCGTCAGGCACATTTTACGAGGGATAATAGTTGATGTTCTATCAGCGGCATTTCTGTCATGCTGTGATAAAGCAGTGTGCACTAGTCACATTTTAAATATTTTACATATTCTATCACAGTATGACTATATGAAAAATTAATAAACGTGAAAAATAAAATAACAGAATAAAAAAATATAATAAATCAAGTTAGAGATTCAACTAGGCCCGGCGCCCCCAGACCCCGGCCCAAAATATTGATAGGCCCGTAGTCGCTAAGATGGCACCCATCATTTCCGAAATCAACCCCCGTCTCCTCGGGGGATTAGACCCCGAAAACAGGGAATTATGCACCTTAGAAGCAACAGTCGTAACGGGATTGGAAGAGGTCATTGTCTTGAGCTTTACCTGGATGCAAGTGCTAGATAGTGTGTTGCA